CGTGCGCCTCTCTCGGATGCGGGAGGTGTAGCTATCGGGGTGGACATCTCGCTGCTGAGTCGTACCATTCTTAAGGAAGTCACCTGCAAGGAGGTGGTGAAGGGAGATGGGATAATCGATGGCTGGAAGTCAGGGATTTTGACTGTGCCATACATTCTCCAAAAATTCTCGAGGGTGCTGTTCTTGGTAGCGGGAGGCTTGCGCTTCGCGAGGAACCGCGGGTGAGCCAATGACCCTGCGCTCAATTGCCAGCGATTACACGGCGAAGAGGCTGCAATCTCACAGCGTGCACTTCTTCGAATGCGCCCACATGTATTTCAGAAATCGCCGTGGTTCACCAGAGACCAAAAAAGCTACAATGTTCCACCGCGAACGAACTAACGTCCCTCGCTTGGTACGTGTCATAACCTGTGCTGCAGTCTCTTCATTCATGAAGTCTCGTAATGCTAAACGACCGATGACATGTACTCCAAGCTTGCCTGTGCAGCGGCCTTTACCTCGTCATCGAAATCTCCTTGAGACAACTCCTCCAAACGTCTCCTCCAAAACGACCATCGCTCAGCTCCATTCTGGAATTCCCTTGCTTCGTCTGGTATTTGACCCCTTGACCAATCCCCTAATCCCTTCGTCACAACTTTGTCGTAGATTTTGCGCCCATTGTACTTGAGCATAAATGAGACGGCGGGAATGTGAAAGTCCAGCTTGATTTGATCGTAGGCAGTAGCTTCATCTGTGGCAAGCTGCTCGTCGCTCTGGTCGATTTCTTTCTCGAGCGCTCGGATGATGAGTTTAATCATAGCCTCATCCATCTTCAACACGTGCTTCGCAACCAACTGGGCTTCGATATCTTTTCCCTTTAGATAAGATTTCCGTGCCAATGCAAGCAAGGTTGCGTCGGAATACTGCCGGCAAATTTGGCCTGGCTGGATGTCTGCGCCAGTGCTCTCGTCCCAGGCCATGCCAAAGTACGGGAATTTTGCCCATGTGAGCTGTTCTCCCACATGGTTAAGAGCCTCGCCTTTGTGGATCTTACCCGGCGCCTTCGCGATCGCATCCAGTAGCGTAAAGATCTCCGGGACACGTGTGGATGGCCATTCCATGAGAGCGTCTATGATAACTCCCCATAGGTTATCAACAGCCAGGAGATGATCAGCATAGCCTCCTAATGCTGGTACAGGCGAGGTGGACAGTGGGTGTGTCATGGATAATGCCGCCTCATCTGCAGTAATGTGGCCATCGTGGTATGCTTTCAATGCGTCGACCTCCGTAGCAAGCCAGTCGCGAAGGCTCGGGTCATGGCTCTCGACAGGACGCTGCTTCTGTCGCTCAAACCATGCAGGGCTGACATTGTGCTCATCTTCTCTGGGTAGTTCAAAGCTGTCGTGATATGACATGGCGGCGTTGGGTTGAGGTTGAGAAACGTTCCACACTTCAGGGTATGCTTCGCCTGTAAGTGCGCTGTAGGAGAACGAACTGCCTTGTAATCATAAGCCCACGCCTGCGCTTTGTCCATTCCTCGCTCGGTTTGGCAAAAAAGAGCGGTAAGTTCCACGGTGCAAAAAATGGCAAAAACATACAACAGCGGGGATTCGCTAGTGGTCACCCACCTAACTACTAATCCGCCGGTATCATGCTTGTATATGGCTGAGCGGACGGGAAGCCTAATTTTCATGATCCTATGGTCGTATGTGAAGGAATAGACCATTGCAGCAGTATATGATGACGGTCGTGGACTGCGGCGGCAAGCAGGCGGGGGCTGGCATGTAGCATGAGCCGCAGCATCGTATCCACCTTTTGCATCAACAAGTAATGTGTGGTCGGAGATCGTAGCGAGGATGGAGGAACGCAGTGGATTGATCGTATGAACTGTCGTACAGCGAAGAAACGTGGAGCGCTGATTGCGAACGGCATCGGTGACGCACGCAGTATGCTAGATTCACAAGTAAGCCAGAGGGTGACTATAGAAAGCTTGCGACATCATGTGTAGTTGTCCGAGAGTGTCGACGCAACAATGCGGAGGAAGAGGAGAAGGAGGCTGTTGGGTTGTGCTTGCAACGAGCGGCGCTGGGCGCGATGGGTGCGATGGATTGCGGCACAGTTAGGAGGCGTCATCCTTGTGCGCCTGTAGGTGCGTTTTTGTTGCTATGGCACACCTGAGTCACTTTTGGTGTGTCGCAAAGGAGATGTGGTGGCTTATGGAAGTATCGCGACGTACGCGACAGAAAGGCAGTCGCGTCGTGTGGGTGATTGCGACAGGCCACGCGAAGAGCCCTGGGGGACGTCGAGATCGCCGCTAGGCAACGGGGTCTACTTCCGCACCGCGCTCGCTATTTCCTGGAAATAACTGGATCTAAAGCTAACGAGGCGTTGCTTCATACTCGCATCTAGCAGCGCCGTGCTGGAGCTGCTGACTTGCAAGTGGCATCGGGCGTCGTTGTAAAGATACGGCGCTACTGTAGGTCGTGATGCCTCAACTGCCGCGCAAGCGAATCAGCAAAAGTCCACAGGTCTCACTCAGACGGTCTCTACGATATTCGACAGCGAACATCTGACGCAGAAAGTGCGCCGTCACTTTCTATCCTAGGATCAATATGATCGAGCATGCAAGATAGAGCGTTGAGCTCGTCTCTAACGTAAAGATCGTAATTCGACTTGGCTAAACCGATATCAATGTGCCCCATAGGAAAGGAGCTTCAGTCTCGCTAGGGTCTTCGTTTCTCCGAGTACGGATCGTAGTCCAGCCCAAGAAGGTCAGGATGAGAAAGTTCCACATCCATATTGTGCGAACGAGACCATCTCTTCTTTCGCCCCAGCCTCTCGATCCAGGCGGTGCACATATTCTGCACATGATCAATGGCATATGCCAGTAGCGGGAATACTAACACCAGTATACAGAGAGTTAGAATGAAGGTCTTCGCATTGCGCTCAAATCCGAAGATGCTATCTTCTGTCGCAAAGTACTGAAGGGTCACGATAACCGGAGTACCAAGCTAAATGGATTCTTTAGTAACGTTCATTGCGTGCATCGGGATACCAGACGAGCTTACCCATATGAATATGACATTAGTTCTCGTTTTGGTGGCCGTCGTCCGAGCAGATACCATGCTCTCTCTGTTTATTGGAGTAATCTTCGTGGAAATCCGCTGGGTTTTGAGGTTGATCGCAGAAACTTGTTGACGTGATAATTTACTATCAAGTTCGAGTCGATGCATAAACTACCCTAGTTAGTTAATCGTCAAGGTGTAAGAGTAGAGAACCTGCCGACTTGTCGCGGTCTATACAAGACGCGTATAACACATCCAATGCTTTGTTCAAACCCTTCAAGTCATCGAAATGTGTCTTGATGGATTTCAGGAAGAGCCGAGCTCTCATGTGCTTCAGATCTGAAAAGAATGCTAGATCCCCGCCGGGCTGCACAAAATTTTCCCAGGCGCCGATCGTTTCAGAAATCGTCTGACGTAGACCAACGAGACAATCTTGCAGTCTATACCAATGCTCTTGATCAACAGATGAGTATCTGGTGACATCGGGATGTACACGTTTGCTCTGAGTGCGTATCAAAATTAGTGGGCGTCTCTGTGGAATGCAGAAATATCACTTACCGATGGGTGTGAACAGTTTTCAACGACACGAACGATATATGCCCACTCCTCGAGGACCATAAGGATGCGAAGCTCAAGGCAGCGGAGAAAATAAATCCGTGGATCACGAATCAAGTCGTTGTGGGCCAATACACATTCCCTTCTGTTGCTATCGCCAGTCACGAACAGATCTTCCACGGGCATATTCTCGATGTCTTCGTCGTCGGAAAGTTCGCCGTCAGATTCGGCGCTGATCTCTTCACTGGCTAGTCTGCTATTCCTGAAAGCATATCCTGTCCATGTGTACTCATTTGCACCACAGATCATGACAGACATCGTGGCCTCTCGTATTGTCAGACGATTGTGGTTTGATCGTGTTTTGGAATCCAGTAAACTAAGAAAAGATAGGTCAGTCCAGTGGCTTGGGTCTTTTCCAATGTCGTCTTCGCCTTGGTCCGCGGAACGAAGCTCCCGTAGCGCGAGGAAAGGAAGAGAGAGCTCCATGCAGAATCCTGATGGCTGGTAACGCGTAAGACACTACCATCGTGACATGTTTGATGACTTACAGAGATTGTCACACTTAACGACATCTTGCGGGTGACGAAATTAGACATGAAACCTCGCAATGCTCCCACATGGCGGTAGGATACACTATTAGCAAGCGCCGAAAAAGCCTGGTAATTTAGGTGGGGGATGTATCTACGTAGACGATCAGTGAATCACGTGAGCGATATCCATGACAGACATGCTTACACGAGGTGCCGGTTATGGGAAGCTTGGCTGTCGCCGAAATACTGCTAGACAATGATTAGCGTGAAGCATTCAGGTATTATATCACGCATTCATTTACCTTATTCCACATCTCATGGCCAAGGTCTGAGATAGGTATCCACCCAATATGATCACTCTCGTGCGAAGATGCATGCCAGTACCACGCTCTCTGATGTATTACATTCTCAGGATGTGGAGCTGAGGCTGAAGCAGGAAGTTCTTTTTGACAGAATTTTCTCAACACTTCCACATTCCAACAGGGTGTAGAACTTTCGGAGTCTTCTAAAAAGGCATCGAGTAGATCAGAGGCGTAACTTCTGTTCGCTAGGGTCTCTCTGTATGGCCTGTCACTGACCGGACTTGCTGTCGCAAAGCGATGACTCCAAGACTTTACGCTAATGTTGGTGGATGTTATATGGACTGAACGTCTTTTTCGACTCGGTCTGAGGTGTAGGAAACGAATTCTCGACTTTAGAATAGGTACCAGATGTGATAAAGTTGCAGGGCACCTAGGAGGAGCCGCCGCCGCCTCTTCATTGCATTGCGACTTGGAAGGCTGCGCACTAAGGAGATCAGCGGCGGTCGGCAGCGTCACGGATATAGCTCCCAAACATTCTCTCATGTTCTCGAAAGTATCAAGAGCAGGAATCATGTAGGCTTCTCCAAATGGGTTTGTAGCGACAATGTGGCCGTAGAGATGAGGGGCAGTTGAGTGGACGACCCATGCTCCTGAGTCACCTTCGCGTACTGATAGATGGTCATTAGCGTCGTATCTACTGAGGATGTTGCTTGTAACTTCTTACCTTCGCCATGACAGAGATCCAGCATGTATGCGTCTACAAAGCACTCGTTGTGAGAAAGCCACAACCTGGCAGGAAGACTAGAGAGCTCTCCGTCGCGAGGACCTTCTGTGGCACCTAGAAGCTGGACTGCTGCCGAGATGTCATCTGGGAAATGCGGCTTCTCGGCTATCAATATTGGTCGGTCTCGAAGATCTTGGGAGTCGTGAGCTGAAGCATATTGGATCCGAGTGACCACGTTCGGCAAAGGAGTAGCCACATCGAAGAGAGCCCAGTCGTGCGTCAACGTCGATCGACCGGCAGCAACACCTGGGAAGACTGGGGGAAGCAAGACGCGGCCAAGTACGTCATCGTCGGCGATCCATTCCAAAGGATTGAACCCATCCCGCTTCGTAGACGGTTCCGTACGCATGCCAGGTAGTACTGCGGTACACTCTTGAAGCAAATCTTCGACTGCGTGTCCAGCCGTCATGCCATGAAAGCCAGTCTCACCGCTGCCATAGGTGACCTTGAGAACACCTCCAAACGTGGCTTTCCGCGCGAGGGTTTGCGAAGGCTGCTGTAGATTTTTTCGCAATATGACCGGACTTCCGCAGTAGGTGCTGTGCCGAGCGAAGAAGGCTTTCTGACCGCAAGCATCGATCGTGAAGTCGTCGCTCGCTCGTCTTATAGATCTCGGTACTACTATTATGCCCAACTGAGGCACGTTTTCGCGGCTCGAGCGCCGGAGTTCGACTACGACCGGTAGCTCAAGGATTGCGTCGAGGGGTTGTTTTAAGTCCGGTGCACAAAAGATGATAATGTATAGCTTGGCCACGTCGATAGTCTTTCCAACCATTCTAAGCTCGAGTGCAATGTCCCTCGGACGGCTCGGATCTTTTGCAAATACATCTTCCTGGATCATTCCTTCGATGGCGTGCCGGACCCCACAGCCGTGTCGTCGCGCATCTTTATCGGGCACTATCTTGTAGATGAACAGGTCTGTTCCGGATATTTCGTAAGCTTCTGGTTGCGCTTGAGTTGACGCCTGTTCGAGTGTCAATGTTGAGTCAACCACATTGGTTGTCATGGACTGGTAGGCAGAATCAGCGACAGAAGGTGTAGCTCGTTTCCTTAATAGCTCGTCTGCTTGTTGTGAGCTATGTGTGGAGCGCAGACCACAATGTTTGTTGTTTCGGCCTGAGCTGATGCCCCCACGAGAGTTCAGTGCTTGTAACTCGTGATTCATTGTCTCCATACAAACGTTCGTGGAAGAACCAAGGATATCTGCTAAGACAGTATTGTCAACGCAAAGGAAGTTGCGACCTACTTCCGTTCGTGAAAAGAGTGGGCAGAGATGGGTTGCTGGAACGAGGTTCATGCCCAAGGCTCGTACCGGTGAAAAACGGCGTTCTCTTGGCATGAAATCAGCCGCGTTGATATGGTGGCTCCAGTCATGCCCCGGTCTGAAGAGAAGGCTTTGCAGTATATGCAGCCAAGGTGGTCCGTCCTGGTCTTTGTGATCCAGTCTCGAGAGTCAACGTGGCAAGGCATAAACACGTGATGAGGCTGAGACGGTCCTTCACTTACATACTCTTTAGTTTCAAGAGTTCACACCTTCCCGCATAATCATCTCTCAGAGCTGTAATGGCCGCAGAGTTCAAAATCTTGCCATGCTTGGCACAATTCCCTTTGGAGAATCTATCGGTGGGCGTGGAGGATGAGGTCTGTCGGGTGCTATTTGGTTGGCGGGATTGTGCTGATTGCACCAATAAGGGAGGCTGTATGGCGACGGGGTGTCCTTGGGTACGAAGAACTCAACTCGGTCACTACCTTCAATTCTATTTCGAGACTACCAAGTGGAGTACGCCTACTGATCTGAGCGAACGACGCTGGGCGCTGCGTGACCATTACGACTTACTCAGTATCGTTCGCCTCATCAAAGATCAGCCGAGTCGTAGAAGACGAGAGTTGATGGAAGCCTACTTTTCGACCTACGGGGACCCGCAGCCCGCTCTTGCGGATCAAAAGCGCGCGTTCGACCTTGCCATCACTGTGATCACGATGATCTCTTGCTCTGAGTGTAACCCACACTATCGGAATCCGATGCTCGCTCCAGTTCACTGGGATGACGGAACATCAGCGTGCGAGTTCGTCAGATCGAGGCTGCCCATTGGAACGGATCGCGGCGAACCTGGAAACATATCTCGAACAGCGTCCAAACTATCAGTCGGAGCACTCGACCGTATGGGCGTCACAGTATATGGAACAGACGATCTTCGAAAGCATCTGCTTTACGACGCTGAGGCAAAGACGGTCCATATCTTCCATTTTGTTAGCTTTCTAGAAGAGCAACTGCAGCAAACCTGTTCCAACCCAATAGTCAGCCAGTCAGTACACCTTCATTTGTTCTTAGCACCTAAGTAGTCTGACTGCAGTATAGCGAGATGATTCCTGAAAGGCTTGTTACAGAGACGCTCCTCACACTCAAACTCTTTCTATTTCCTTGGGACGATCCAGCTAGTCGTACGATAGCTGAGAGCCACAGCTTTGACCCGGCCTGTCTGGAGGTCAATCTATTCGACCATGCTGGAGGATATGCTGCGCAATACAATTACTGGGGCGCGCGCCTTCGGATCTTGGTTGGGGTGTTAGATGACCGAAAACAATGCCGATCGATGGCCGCGTGGCTCAAGCAACGGAGCCTGCTAGAGCTCGCGACACTGGCAACGCTTTTCCTAGGAGTAATTGCGATACTTGTTGCGATTTCATCTGTAGCTGTGGATGCGTGGAAGGTTCAAGGCAAAGATAGCTGATTGACGCTTGTAATCACGATTGCGTAATTGTAATGAAGAAGGGCCACTAGGCACCAACGCCAGGAGCCGATAGCGAAAAGGACGAGATAGTCCATGGAAGCGTTGCAACATATGCGACAGCGAAGGTATGACGTCGTCGCGTTGGTGATTGCAGTGATGTTGCCTTTACGCAGTCGCGATACAAGCCCGCGCGAGCGCGGACCAGCGTGTCGCGCACGCAAATGCCGAGGTCCAACAATGATCGCCGCACCAACGCCACGATTTCGCACCCTTGCCACCCACGCGATTCTAGGCCCTCTGCACCGCCACACCCGCCATTTATCATCCCATCTACCCTCTTCCATCCCATTCTCTCCCCATCACATCCACACCCACCCGTCCCATCCATCTCTACCAACAGGCGGCAAGACACGGCACAATCAGGCATCAGGACACGTAACACGTTGCACCAAACGCGCTAACACGCTGTCACATGGCCTGGCCTGGCGCCCAATCAGGTAGCGACAACGACAGTTGTTGGGTTGTTGGGCGATGAGGAGAGGCGGGTGGGAGTCATACTTTCGCTCGACGTGGCTGCTGTGGCTAAATTTTGCCTCAGCGGAATGTTACCCAAATTTGAAGCTGAAGCCTGTGTTGAGGCGATGTGACTAAGAAGGCGAATGTCCGTTCGGAGTCCGTCGGATCACGACATCGGGAAGGCAACAACTATAATCATAACGCCCCAAGGAAGCATAAGCCGGAAGCCATGGAAGACAAAAATGACGTGATGCTACACAGTGCATACTCTAGCTCTTGCGATGCACCTCGTACTCGGATATCACACCCGCAACGGCATGAATAGCGGCACGGTTGCCTGGGCATATGCGAACGTCTGTCTAGGCAGCTAGTGCACGCGCCCTTTCGCCGTAAGACATCGCGGGTAAGGCAATCCTGCTAGGCACCAAGGGCGTTGCGAACGAGGCTAAGGTATGCATTGTTTTCGGGGGCCAAAAGCCAAACTCAACCTCATACCGCGGCAGACGAGAAGATCACGAAAAGTGCAGGAAGGAGCGAGACTGTCGAGTGTCTATCTTTTAAATTACAGTACAATAGTTTAGAGTGGCATATTCCATCTATAGATTTGAGCGAGGTATCATCTGTCCGTATCCCCCCTTCCTTCCCCTATCCAACCCATTCCATCGCAGTCTTTGGTATCATAGCTATCGTGGGTGAACATGTGCCAGCCATGCGTAGAGTGCGTAAGTAGTTAAGAGATATTACAGTTTAGGGGTGTTACAAGGAAAGCAAAAACGCTCAAGTGATATGTACAGTGAGCGACAGTGAAGTTATGGAACAGAGAATGAGGCTAAGCGGAAGAACGCCGGGGAAATGCATCGAGTGACAGAAACAAAAGGATCCCATCATCATCTATGACTCTGTTGAAGAGCCATGACTGCCTGCTCGAGCTGCCGTAACCTCGAGTCCTTCTCTTCATTCTCCTGTCGGAGACGCTTGATCTCAGAGCGCATCTCATCATTGCCACGGTCCGAGAGGCCAGAGTCAGAGCCAAGACGCTTGCGCTTCAGACTCATCTCATCTTCCTCGCGGTAGTCCATGGTGCGGTTGTACGGTGACTCCGAGGTGCGTGACTCAGGAATGGGAGAACCCCCCTCCATCTCACGCCTGACCATGTCGCGGCGGATGATCAAGCCATGCATATCTGCAGACATTGATGTTCTGCGGTGAACACGACGGACATGCTCAGCGAGGTTCTCCTTCCGCGTGAAGCCGGCGCCTGAGCTGCGCTTGCAGTCGTGGAAGGGGCAGAAAAGGGACTTCTTGGTACCGCCGTGCATTTTGTGAACTTCGCGTTCGTGGCGAAGAAGGCCACCGCTGTAAGTGAAGCCTTGGAGCTTTTCGCAGCCCTTGACGTTGCACTTGTAAGGCCTGTCATGCTTGTCCATGTGTTTGCTGTAAACGTCAGTGTCTGTTCGTGTGAGTCTGGGAATACTATCACTCACCTCCATTCGCACTTTCGGTCAAAAGATGTACCACGGCACTCTTGATACTTGCACACCATCTTGCCGTCTTCGTTGCGCGGTGGTTCTTCGGCGCGTTTATAGCTGTGGTTCTTCCGTAGTGATCCGTCGTCATCGCCGTCTTGCGAGGAGTCTACAGAAAGTCCCCTGCTGTGGCTTCGGGGCGGGCTTGTAACGATGATTTGTCGTTCGCCAGCAGTTGGAGAGGTCATAGGTGATCGAGCGCTCATGCTGACCGGGGTAGGCATATCGGTGAGCGAGCTGATGGAAATGTTCCGCTTGTGCTCGTGCGGCACTTGCATGGAAGTAGGGTTTGGCGAAAGCTCAGTCATGATGTCTGGATATCCAAGGTTGAAATACTGAGGGTTGTAACTGTGTTGCTGGGCCTGAGGCTGGCGGCTTGGTTGATATATACCGGGAGACGCGAAGGCAGTTTGTGGCTGAGCAAAGAGATCGCTTCCCGCCGCTCCGGTGACTCTAACTCTCGGATCTTGAGTAGAAGTGATCAGATGACGCGGACTGTCTTGAGGTGGCAACGTATATGAGTGCCAAGGAATTTCGTGGTCGGAGCCCAGATGCGGAAAGGCCGTTAGAGGTGGCGCAGCAATGCCTTGATCTTGAGGCGAATAAAAATTAACGGGCGGAACTGCCTGGAAGTTTGGTGCGGATACGCCATAATAAGTATCTGGATTTGGATTTGTTAGTCGCAGCTGCGAACAAGTCCAGCCTGAAACCCAGGGTAGGCAGAGAAGTCGTGACTCAACTCAAACGGACACGGGACACTAGGCACTTACTTGGTCGCGGCTCTGGGTCCGCACCTTCTCCAGCCTGACTAACCCGCAGGACTGGAACTGGCAGCCTGTCCGCAAGACCATTCAAACTCAGATCGGGCTCCCAGGTTTCCGTGTTTCGTGCCTGGAATGGAGCATGGTCCACATGGACGTTTGTCGCAGGCGTCGCATGCTGCGGCTGCTCGCCAATCAGCTCTTGGCCAAAGCTGAGGTCTGCAATGCATTAGCACCAATCGGGATAACCACAAACCTTCTTCGTGTTTTCACGCTCGACCAATCGCAACCAGTCATCCACCTGAGCAGAAGCCTCATCGGGCGGAAAGAAATGTAACACATACAGTCTGACGATGCATCGGTATCCCACGAAAGATTGAGGTTGTGTAGCACGTTGTTGTACGGCACGCGGTCTTTGCCAGTTCCCTCGTAAAACATCCAGCAAACTCCCCACAGAACGGCTAGCGACGGTTTGATAGTCCATGGGAAGGTGCTGAGCGCTTGTGGCTTCTCAGCGAACTCTGTAAACCAGGCCAGGAGTTTGCGCTGCCTCTTGTCGTGATCGCCGCAGAGCAACTCCTCCAGAGCCTTGCGTGCCAAGGACTCGATTAGGTCTGTCTGTAGCCGCAG